CACTTTCTGTCCGTATCTGTCATCGCACAACCAAACTTAAATCTTCTACCCCCATTATAACCATTTTTCATATGTAGTTCATATAGGACTAAACTTGTTTAAAGTTAAAGTTTTAAATTTAAAGTTTTAAATTTTTAACTAATTGAATCATCCTTCCATTAAAAATTGAATTAATTAGTAAATAAATGTTATTTTGTAATTAAATTAATGTAGAGAGTATGTCCTTAAAATTACTTAAAAAATAATTAATTTCAAAATACATAAAATGTACTTAAAAACACTTTAATTATATATATATAAACCAATTGAATAATTCTTAAAGACAAATTTTTTGGTGGTACACTAAATTTTTTCCATATAGGCATATATATATTATGTGTAAAACAATTTCACTTGAAGTTTGTCATTAACTAAATAACTTTTTAGGTCCAATTTAACTTTAAATATTATTTTACTTTTTAACATTAAAAATATAAATCTTATATAGAAATTTAACAAAGTATATAAATAATTTTTGATAAAATAAAACTGTTTAACAATAACTATATATTAGTAAAAAAAATTTTAATTATCGTTACTATATGGTTTGTTAAATTTTAATTTAAAATTATTATCTAAAAAATTGAAAAATAAATTAATATTATTTTAGCAAAGATTCTACTGCAAAAAGACAGGTAAAGTGATGTTCAAAAAAAAAGAAAAAGAAAAAAAAGAAGACGGGTAAAGTGTAAATTTTAAGGAAAGGACAAATCCGTAGTAACACACAATGAAACAAGAGTAATGATCCGCAGGATAATCTTGCTGGATGATTTTAAGGGACGATAAATGAAATATAATCAAATTAATAATTATTGTTGAAACTGCTTCACTTGTCACTTTTAAAATAAATCCGTAACGTCGTCCCGCGGATCATTACTCTTGAAACAATAGTTGTCCGCTTCGTCATCCTTTGCTCGTCCACATGTAAAATGCAAAAATCATTACTAAAAGATAGTTATAAAGCAAAACAGTGATTGTGTGTGTACGTTTCAGACACATCTTATAGGCTCGGGTTACCTTCCACGTTTTGATCATGTCAGGGTCCACCTGCATCCCCAACCCCAACCGTCCGATTCACTGTCTAATTTGTTTAACCCACACCTCACTCCGTGTAATCAAATTTAAAATTTTTTTATTAAAAAGAAAATTACCATTAATCCATTTAATCCCATTAACATTAGATATATATATATATATCTTTTTAGCATAAAAATGTATTTTTATTATTAATAGGGGCGCCCATAACAATCATTCGTACTTAACATTTCTTACTATTCAAGAAAACAAACAAAAATAGAAGGAAGAAAATAATTTTTTAATCAATAAGACAGTAACGTTGACTAATGTTATAATTTAATTTGATTGATTTAAAAAGTATATTCCTCCCTTTCTCTCATATTTATTCAAACCATATATATTAATAGTTTGTTTAGTTTGAGGGGATAAAAAAGAGTGATAAAAAAATTTTCTATTTAAATAACAAAAAATTAGAAGAGAAAGTAAGGGAGAGTTTTCTTTTTATTTACTTTAATTTTTTTTCTTTTTTTGGTATTCTAATCCAGCTAAACAAGGAGAAAGAAGGGAATTTTTCTTACTTTATTTTATGTTTTTTTTTTATATTTATTGTATAATGAGATACAACTCTTTTTTATTTTTTATTTCACCTCACTTGTATATTATATTATTCAAATTCAGAATTTTTTATTTTCAACAGAAAAAATTATCATTGAATTATTTAAGTTGTTAATATTTTTTTATTTTATGTTTTAATCCAACAAAAACAAAAAGAAAGGTGAAAATTGAAAAGAGACAATACCCCTTTATTTTTCTCCAACTAAACAAGGGTAAATCTCTAACTGGTCAACTATTGCACATTTTGCCTCACCGAACATCACATTCAATAGGATCAGTACACCAATCTAATTAATAAACACGACTAAAATATTTTATTATTATTTTTTTTTAAAAAAAGGAAGAAAAACTCCAGATAACATTATTCTTTCGTTAATCTAACATCAAGTCGTTAAAGTGATATTGCCTTGAAAGGCATTGCATAATTAATTTTTGTGGCGAAATATTTTTTTTTTGGGCCATGACTTTAACTTGACTTCTAATACACAAAATAATCATGAATCAATCATACGTAAATGACTTTTATTTAATTACATCCGACCCTTGACCAAAATCACCAGTTACTTTTAAGAGACTAAAGCATGGCAATTTTGATCGTAGCAATAATAGTAAAAGATTTCAAATTTAAAATTTAAAATATATGAATACGTAAAAATATAAATGAAAAAAAATAATTTTAAATTATGTATTAAGGATATATAAGTAAAAAAAAAAAAACTTGACAAATAATTAAAAAACTGTAAAAGGTGAGATTCGATAATATTTGTTTTGGCATTTCCAAAAAAAATAAAAGAGAGAGAGAGAGACTTATTGGGCAGGTGGGAAAACATGTACCCAATCTCAAAGAGGAAAATACATTTGCTAAAAGTGTACAAAAAAATAATTAATTAGATACTCCCATAAAAGGAGAAGATTGAAGGGCAAGTGTAAGTCTATCTGCTTCCTTCACTGTGACCACGTTCCCATATCCCTTTTCCTTTTTTTCTTTTCTTTTCTAGTTATTACTCCCTCCACACAGCCTGATAGACGGCCGTTCTGTTTCTTCTCCCCCACATCTCTCTCTTCCTTTTTCTTTCTAAACTTATCATTCTCATCATCTCATCTCTGCTTTTTGTTTCTCTTGTATCATCAACCAAACCTTACGTTACACACACAAAAGATAAAAAAAAAAAAAAAAACCATCTTCTCACCCACCGATTTCTTCCAAAATTAATTCTTGTTTCTTCAATCTTTTTCTTTTGGTCTCTAGCTATTTTGGTTCATCTATTGCTTTCCTCAGAGGAATTAAAAGTTATTATATGTTCTTTGATATGAGTTCTGAACAACGTTGATAGCTGGTTCTGATATAAAAGGTTAGGCCATGCCTCTTTGCATTCGATTTCGAAGCTAATTTGTCAAAAAGTTTAGATGTCTGGTTTTAAAAAAATTGGAATTTGAAAGAAAAAAAAAAGAAGAAGACTCTATGAACACTGATCTTTTTTTTTTTGGTTTGACAGGTTAAAGAACTGAAATTAACGCAAAAAAAAGGAGACACGATGTTGGATCTTAACCTTGACATAATCTCTACTGAGTCGTCTTGTGATGAGAACAAGATGGTGATGATGTCGGATTCAGACAAGTTTCAGGAAGCTGTAAGAACACGGTTGATGGAAGATTCCGGAACATCAAACTCCTCCATCATCAACGCCGATGAAGTCCCGGTCAATGCCGGAGATGAGAACTCCTCCAACACCGCATCCGCCCTGGTTTTCGATATCCTAAAGAAAGAAAAAGACCCCTCCCCCGCCACCACAACCTCGTCTAATCCGTCACCGAACTTTTTCACGCAACAGCTCTTCCCGATCAGCAGAGAAAGAGGTAGCAATCTCGAGTCGATGACGAGGCCTCAGTGGTTGAATTTATCATCTTCTGACTCAATCAGCCAGTCGGAGCTGAAAACGGGGCAGCAGAAGCAGCAGCAGCAGCAGGTGAGGAAGAGCCGGCGAGGACCACGGTCCCGGAGCTCACAGTACCGAGGCGTCACGTTTTACCGGAGAACCGGTAGATGGGAATCCCATATATGGTAAAAAAAAATGTCAATGTTTTTATAGTATTATTATATTTTTCTTAATTATTGTGTTTTCCATTTTGACTTTAATTTTTTTCCTCATTTGGGCCTTCAGGGATTGTGGGAAGCAAGTTTACTTAGGTAAGTACATTTTCTTTAAAGAAAATTATACTGATGTAGTGATAATTTTCAGAAAAAAACAAAAGCTAATTATGTAAATTCATATATTTGTTTTGGATCCTTGATAATAAGGGTATGTTGTTTTTCTTTTTCTCAGGAGGATTTGACACTGCCCATGCTGCAGCAAGGTAAAAGAATTTCCTTTTTAAAAAAAATTAAAATTTAACACATATTATCATTTAGATTTCATGTTTGTCCTATGAATTTCTTTATTTTTGTCCTTCTAAATTTGGAAATTTAATTTTTCAGAGCATATGATCGGGCCGCGATCAAGTTTAGAGGAGTTGATGCTGATATTAATTTCAGTTTAAGTGATTATGAAGAAGACATGAAACAGGTAACTATGTCTTTTTTTTTTTTTTTTTTTTTTTTTTCAGTTATTGGAGGCTTTAAACTTTTTGTTGATTATAATCTTGGTTGATCTGCAGATGAAGCCGTTGAGCAAAGAGGAATTTGTGCACATCCTTCGTCGCCAAAGCAATGGATTTGCTCGAGGGAGCTCAAAGTACAGAGGTGTAACCTTGCATAAATGTGGCCGGTGGGAAGCAAGAATGGGACAATTCCTGGGAAAGAAGTAAGAATTTCTTTCATTTAATGTGTCTTTATATGTTTTGTAACTTTTGTTTGAGTAATGAATTAAACTGAGATTGCAAAAAAATCAAAACATTCTGGTATTTTTCCAATCGAAGGTATAAGATGGGTGAGACATAATGTTTATCTCATTTAAATCTTATTTGTAATAGAATTATGATTAGATGTCATAACATTTTTAATTTTAAGACATTTTGATTTTTACCTTTTTGAATTAAATTTTAATGGCTTAGAAAAGTAGGATAATAACTAAGAAAAATGCGAAGTATAAATATTATGCTTGCTTGCAGGTATGTTTATCTTGGATTATTCGACAGCGAAGCAGATGCTGCAAGGTTTTAGAAGTTAATTAATTTTACAACATAAGCAATCTCTAATTTTACTGAGGTTTATATTAATGTGAATCATATTTTCTGAATTTCAGGGCATACGACATGGCAGCCATTAGATTCAATGGAAGAGAAGCTGTAACTAATTTTGAGCTAAGTTCATATCAAGGAGAGATATCAGTGGATCCGAGTACTAAAGGTTCTTACCTTTTTAGTTTCTGTTAATAAGATATATGAACATTGATTTGTTGATGATTGATTATAACCACCGCGTGCAGGAAATTGTCAGAATCTTGATCTGAGTCTTGGGATTTCTCCGTCCCCAGCACCAGTCCTTAATGGAAACAACAATGCCGAAATTTTCAATTTTAGTTCATCTGTTGGTGTAGCCAATGCATCTAAACACCCCGAAATCCTGACTGGTGCACCTGTACCAAATTACAAGGTTTCTAATAATTTCTTCTTCCATGAACATTTTTTTCCCATGTTTTTTCTGTTATCTGTTTACTGAAACTTGTTTTTGCACTTACGATGACAGGGAATGGGTAGTGATCAGCAGAGAATTGCAGGTGTTTTTCCAGCAAATTTCTCGAACTTGGCATGGAAAATGGATGGCAATAGGAGTATCAACATTGCACCAACTCCTGTGTTCCTTGCAGCATCATCAGGATTCTCGTCATCCATTGCCACTGCTTCATCATCGACCAATCTCCCACCCAACAATAACTCCCATTATTTCAGCTGCAGAAACTGAATTCTAAAAACGGTCCCACCACTCTTCAGAATGTTAGATGTTGATCAAGAAGAAAACAAAAATGTGATTACTTAGAGTAGGTGGCGGAGTTATTGTCACGAGCCCGACCCTTAAAAGCCTAAGTTCGAGTTATTAATTGACCTATGTGTATTATTGATAATTCTCATATTTTTCATATGTTGAATTGGGTAAATTGTATGTTTCTCATATTACTCTATTTTTGTCTGTGCGATAGGGACTTTAGACTGGAATGTTAATAACTGGAAATGGCAGAATATTTACCAAAAAATGGAAATTCTGAGCCATGTTTGCACATTGATATTGTCTGTCTGTACGGCTGAGCACTAAAATATCCAGGCTGGAAAATTTAATGACCCGAAATGGTAAAACATTTGTGATAGCCAAACAGAGGAAATTGGAGGGAGGGAGAGGCAGGGGCCCCAGGATGAATAATTGTGACAATAGTTTTATGGCCTTACTGGTCCACATCATGCAGCTGGAAAAAGAAAATTGATGAAGAGACTTGGCTAAGATTATGGCAAGTTGCTAAAATATCAGAAACCCCCTTAAACTTTTTCACTGAATACATCACCTCAAGTATGGGTCTAGTATTGAATGATATAAAATTTCAAATGGATATCTACAGCAATCTTTTTTTGATATTGTAGAAAACAAAAAGGTCATTTTATGTGGAGGTGGTTGGGAAGCTGGTAATAATCTGATTATTCCTAAAACAATTTTGTCTAAAGACAAGCAATTTTGCTTTTGGGTAGAGGGAAGACAAAAGCAGAATTTGGTTCTTGTTGCTTAGGCTAATGAATTATACATATAAAATATCTATATAATGGTGATGTGAGTAATTTTTTTTTTTATAAGAGTAACGATTAGGAAGTTAGTATGAATTAATTGTTAGCAACTGATCATCAGACCGAGTGAACATTTCACCGCCTCAAATGAGGCGCGCAGCCATTGGACTGCTTTTTGGTGGAGTTCACGACGGTGGTGGAGGTCAAAGTTTCGATTACCTCACCAAATCACTTAAGGTTTGAGATCGAATCATTGGGCCTAAAGATTCGGTTCGGTGATGTGAGTAATTGATAAACAAAGTTTGTCTTCTGCTGCCAAGAGTTTCCTGACCATTAGATGCTGCCTATGAAATAAGTAGCAGTGTCTTTCATTATGAAAATGAAAGGAGACCTTCTGCTATTGTTCAAATTTCTACTATTAACTACTACATTGACCATTTGACATATAGACAGCTCATTCGATAATTAGAGCAAAACAATTAGGACGAGCATTTCATATAAAAACTTCGAGGTAAGTGGAAACAGTGTGAGGAAAGTAACTGTGTTATGTAATCTACCTCAAAAGATATGGGAAACAAAAACTTTGACTTATTTATAATTTATTGACTTAATGTTACATGTAAGTAATAAAATTATATAAGAAAGAATTATTAAATCCAAGACAAAAATTCAGTCCGGTGAAACTTCTCAAGATTTGGAATTCACAAAGGATGTCAAAAAATTCTAACAAAACACTAAATTAGACTCATAAATTTTTTTATTTTTTTGATGCACTGACTCATAAATTCTTAATGGAACCCAAAACTATTAGCCCAAAAAAGAACGAAACCGAAATACCATGGTTAAATGATACTGGGTCAAAACGGGCCTAATATCGGCCCAAAAATTTTGCAAAATATTGTAACCCCACCCAATGAGGAAAAACCGCGCTTCCTTTCTTTATTTTGATTTTTTATTCTCTATACAATGGAAACTAGAGAACGTGGTGCTACATGCGCCAGTTTCATGCCGTCCACTTCCGTGCAGCTTGCGCGGGGCGGGCTTCTTACTCTTTACTCTTCTTGTCTTCTACGACACCTAAGTCCTTCGTGTCTTCTTCTGCTCAAAGAATCACTCTTCTCGGCATCACGTCCAGGTTACAAACCGTCGTTTGAAGTTTAGGGAACTGAAATGTTGGGCAGGATTGGGCTGGGGTGGGTGCTAGACTGCCAGGGGTGTATCCTCGGTGTCGGCTGCGCAGCAGGAGCCCACTGCGGTGGATTGGAACGAAGCAGTTTTGTCCTCTGAGGTTGGTGATGGTGGTGGTGGTGGTGGGACTTTAGAAGAAGACCCCAGAAGCTCTATTCCTGTTCGTGCTTATGTTTTCTCGACCAGGTTTCTCTCCCTCCTTGCTTTTGTTTTTTTTTTTTTTGGACTTCAGTAAATTGGGTCCGGTGCTAAAACCCTAAACCCCTGATCGACGTACCCATATCTCTCCCTAATATAACCAGCTGTCAGCTTAATACTGATTACTGAATTCAGCGTTGTTTATTTATCCATCGGTTTACTTCTTGGTGTAGTGTGGATTTGAAAAGCTTAATGAAACAGAACAAGCAGAATTAACTTTATCCTGACGGCATCACGGATGACTAATTATGTTGTTTTAAAGTTTGGCAATCTTGCTGATTCCAATGTAAGTTCACATATTAATTATGAATATAGTATTTTATAGCCTAAATTGTATTAAATTATAAAATATTAATCATTAAATGGAGATACTAGTACTTACTCAATGGTTAATATTTTATACTCAGATGTAATTATGCAAAACTCTTTTTTAAGATTATATTTGTTCTCTCCTTTTATTACTGACATAAATCGTGGGATGGAGAAAACAGGAACGTTTACCATGGATAGCAAAAAGCTTTTTCAAATAGTTGGAAAAGCAAACTCTAATCTTGCTGATGTGATTCTTAAGCTTGGACTTTTTGAGAGGTATTTTTAACCTCAATGCTGAAGCCTGAAGGCAGAAACATTATTCATCGTAGTAGCAATTAACGTGTCAATTCAATCAGTATTAATTGTTCAACTCTGCTACTTGAAGTAGCGTATCTTGGTTTGCATTCAATAAGTAGTCATGCTTTTAGCTTTGACAGACCAGACATTGCTTGGAAAAATGCCAAATATGCTCAAATATGGGAATATCTTAGAGATGGATTCGAATTAACTCAAAGGTTTGCAAGTCTTGATTTTAAGCTGAAGTTTGTGGAGGTATGCTATGCTATGCTAGCTTTTCAAGAAATGTAATGCACATGTCTTTTATACATATGTCTTCCAACTGACACCTGATATAATTTCTTTGCAGCATAACATTCGGTTTCTTCAGGAAATACTTCAAAATGGGAAGTCAGATTTTCTGGAGTGGTGTGTCATTGTGTTGATTAGTGCTGAAATTTCTCTCCTTTTTTTGAGCTTATTAAGAAGTCCTTATGACATTGACAATAAATGTACATAAAATACTTAGATGGGTTAGGTTATTAGGAAGTCTCCATGCAGGAGATGATCAAGAACATCTGGAATGGAATTCTCTCTAACATCATCAAAGCTAGGTTCTTCATCCAATCCATGGGATAGCTTCTTGGTGCCATGCTTGTTCTTCATAGAAGCCATTCCTCAAGGCTGACAAATCCGTTCTACTACAGTCAAAATATGGCGAAAACATTTGGATTGTTGCTTTTAATGAGTTGTTCCTTCTACTTGCATTTCTATTATATTTCTCGTAGATTATTCAATCAAACTTGTACTCATTAACAAACTTCAGTAAATTACAAGATTGCTCTTAGCCTCTTAGGGACATTTATTATAAAAACAAAAACAAAAGCACTGTTATATTGCTTTCCAGTTCCTAACTACTAGTTATTTACTAAAAAATCCCTTCTCCAATCCAACAAAGTGAGATATTGAAGTTTAAGATGCAGTTGATGAAGCGGATCGCGACATTGAAGGCCCTGTGAACTTTGCTTTTTCAGGCATATACTTCCTGCCCCGAAGATGCTTCCCATTAATGGAGAAATTGGCTTTGTACCTGCCGCCCAGTATCTTCTCTAGGGAAGAAGGAGACTGCACCACCAGCCGTGCATATAGCGGCTGCTTCTCCACTGGTACTTCTTGCATGTGAATTGCTTCAATGCAGTCCCCAAACTTCCTGCTCACAAAACACAACTGAAATCATTAGCAAATGACGATTCAAGTTTGCATAGAGATAAACTTCGTTCTTTCTTTCACATTATTACCTTGTAAAGTAGTCTATGACTTCTTTCTCTGAAATTGGGTACCCTTTGGAAAATGTCAAGAAAATCGTCCTCTCATCAGCGGGATCTTCTACTTCCCTCTTCTCTTTCTCGCCGGTAGTCTTACTGACACGGTTCATGTCCTCCCCGACTTCACCGTTCATAACCTTTCTCTGAACGACAAGGTCATAAACATCGAGTTCGACGGACTTTGAATCGACACCAGCCGTAACGAACCCCGGTTCCTGTTGGACAGTTCCGAGTACGGTAGTCCCATAGTTCACAACCCCAGGCACAACAGGCGGGACCTCCTGAAACAGGGGATTCATACCCTGTCCTTCTATGTCTTCAACAACCGACTTTGCTTTACTCTGTTTCACTTGCTCCATTATATCCTCAAACGCTCTGAGACAAACTTCATTAACAATTTTCTTGATCCCATGAATTATGCAGAGACGGTCGTCGTGAAAGAATCGGAGGGAAACCCCGCCTTTTGTCATTTTATGAATCAAGGGAATGTGGACACCGTTTAAGGCTGAAGGGAATTCGATACTTTCTATGCACTGCAGGCACAGGACGACCTCGTTGGCTAAAGCATTTACAAGGGAATTGGGCCATGGCAAAGTGTCGTATACCAAGTTGCAAGCCTGCTTTGTTTGTTCCAGCCAAAGTAGGAAAGCCATGACCTTCATTGATTCACCGGGGTCGCGCTGGAGGTTGAATACAAGCCTGAAGAACATGATGCGGTCGATATTGTGGAAGGCATTGAACTCCTCCTTGGTCAAGGGCCTCAGGGCGTCTTGGTCAAAGCTGTCCGCCATTGCTGATTCTTGAAAAAATTGTGAGTGTATACTTTCTGATGACGATCGGTTTCTGGGATTTATAGTGGTGAATCGGTGGGTTGCATTTTGAAATGAAAGAGTGTGTTTTGAAAAGGCGCCATTTCGTTTTGTTGCAGAAATGGAAGTAATACCAGGACCCGCACCCATGGCAACGTTTCGTTTCTTCTGTTTTGGGAAAGGCATTTGAGGAAACTGGATAATTCTGCGAGATTTCTGCTAGAATCAAAGCCAGAATTCTTGTTTGACTCGAGTAATTCCTTCTATTTGCACTTTGAAGTGAAAGTGTGGTTTTTTTCTCTCGTTGGATGTGGGGTGAGATGATGGATGGCTTTCATTCTGTTGGGATTGTTAGGTAATCCTGACTTTCTGAAATCTCAAATGAAAATCTTTATTTATTCTGAAAAATATTAGAGTACATCATTACAGCCAAATGACAGCAGCTACTAGAAAAGAGAAACTACACAAAACATAATGTAATAAATAATTCTATCAATCTGATCAACACTAGCTAATGTTTTACACAAAAATCGCCAACTATTAACACCTGGGCCTTGCGGCTTAATGGTCATAAGCCGACTTGTAAGGTGTATCTCTAATCCGAGGGTTGGAGTTCAATTCCCCTTTCCCTCAAAATTGTAACCTTATTCAAAAAAAAAAAAAAAATTGCCAACTATTAGTTGCTTAATAGTCACAACTCCTTTGAGAAGTGTGGCAACATTTAAAATTTTAAATTTTAAGTATTGATAATTACATTTTTCATTTTCTAATTGTACTAGTTATTTTTTTTTTTTTAAATGTTTTACAACGAAATCGAGCCTCCATTGCTGCACAACAACTCTAGGTATAAGAGACAATCTTGGTTTAACAAATCTTAAGATCTTCTCCTTAACTTCAGACTGGATGTCTGCATATACTGCTGCCTCACTTTTGTGTTGTTGCAGAAATGGAAGTAGTAGGAGATGAAGACAACGGTCAAATTTCATGGAGTTTGACTTCTGTCGTTTGCCACGTGGCATTAACATATTATATAATAGCATACTAGTAGACATCTCAAAGGGAAAAAATATTGGAAAACCCTGCAAATAAACCTTCAAATTTGTTCTTTTGTCATATATGATGTCCTCTTAGATTTTTCAATAACAAACTAGACTTTTTAACTTCTTTAACCTTGCATAAATCTGCTGAAATATGGAGCGGTTTGGCAGGGTTTATTTTTTTATTTTTTAGTATTAACCTCGGTATTCAGTAACCATATTATGTTCGACTAATATGAAATCGAGTCGTATCGGATCCTATTAGGAGGAAACTCTTCAAGTGCTTGTTTCTCTATTCACAAGATTCGAACTCAAAATCTTATTTAAGGGAGATTGAGTTCATTTTACTCGAATTAACAGGTCGTTGGTTTTGGCAAGGTTTATTAAGAAAGGGAAGCATTTCTTTATTTCTTGAGGTTAAAAAATTTTCGGAGGAAAATTAGGATTTTTGGCGATGAAAGTGCTAATAAACAAATTCTGTCACTAGTAATGGGCTATTACTTATTACCAAAGAGGCTCATCTTATTGTAATGTTGCGTTCATGTTGCCAATGTTGATTTTGAGCACTAATGCGTTGGAGATTTTCAATGTTATCTATCAAAATTTTATTATGCAAAAACTGCTTTGCTTGTTGCAATGAGATTATCAAAATTTACTAAATTATTATCTTTATCATTTATAAATTTTATTTAGTCTTATAATAATAGTAGTTATTTACTAGTTAAAGAAAAGTATAATTAAAAGTGACCAAATTAATTATCTCAGTAGTTCAATAATAGTTTTTTTAGTAGAAGTAAAAAATTTTAGATTTAAATCATATAGTATGAAATAAAGTGAGTTGAAGAATATGAGAAAGTTGATTTTTATTATGTAACTTAAGATGAAAAATAAAAATTAACACAAAATTTTATAATTGAAAAATAATAATAAAAATTTATTTATTAATTACAAGGCAGGAAATTAAAGGGGCTCACTAAAAATAGAAGTCAAGGGGCTAAATTGTACTAA